TGATTTCTCAAGTTTTTTGAGGTTGATGGTATTTTTATCGGGATTGCACTGAATCTGTATAATAGTTTTGGGAGAATGGCCATTTTCACAATGTTTGTTCTTCCTATCCATGAGCAAGGCATGTTTTTCCATTTTCTGAGATCATCTTCAATTTCATTTTTCAGTGTATTATAATTTTCCCTGTACAGGTCTTTCACTTCTTTCATGAGAGTAATTCCTAGATAATTCATTTTTTTGGTTGCTGGCGTGAAGGGTGTGACTTCTCTTATTTCTCTCTCTGTGACTTTGTTGTTAGTGTATAGGAATGCTATTGATTTTTGAGTATTGATTTTGTATTCAGCTACATTACTGAATTTATTTATTATATCTAGGAGTCTTTCAATGGAGTTTAGGGGGTCTTCTATGTAGAGTATCATGTCATCTGCAAACAATGACAATTTAACTTCTTGTTTTCCTATCTTTACCCCTTTTATTTTTCTCTCTTGTCTAATTGCTCTGGCTAGTACTTCCAGTACTATATTAAATAGGAGTGGTGATAAGGGACAGCCTTGTCTTGTGCCTGATTTTAAAGTAAAGGCCTTCAAGTTTTGGCCATCTAGTATGATATTGGCTATTGGTTTGTCATAGACGGCCTTTATTATATTGAGGTAAAGACCATCTATTCCAGTTTTCTGCAAGGTTCTTATCATAAATGATCAAAAGCTTATCAAAAGCTTTTTCTGTATCTATAGAAATGATCACGTGGTTCTTACTTTTGGCTCTATTGATATGGTGTGTTACATTTATTGATTTATGTATATTGAACCATCCCTGCATGCCTGGGATGAATCCCACTTGATCATGGTGTATGATCTTCTTGATGATTTGCTGCATCCTATTTGCCAATATTTTATTGAGGATTTTTGCATCTGTGTTCATTAGGGAGATTGGTCTGTAGTACTCTTTTTCAGTTGGGTCATTTTCAGGTTTTGGTACTAGAGTAATATTTGCTTCTAGGAATGACTTAGGAAGGATTGCTTCCCTTTCAATTTCATTGAAGAGTTTGAGTAGTGTTGGCATTAGGTCTTCTTTGTGTTTCTTGTAGAATTCTGCAGTCAATCCATCTGGGCCTGTTCTCTTTTTTGTAGGTAAGGATTTAATTATGTTTTCCATTTCATTAATAGAAATTGGGTTACTCAGTAGTTTTACATCTTCATGATCTAGCTTTGGTACTTCACATACTTCTAGGAATCTGTCCATTTCCTCTGTGTTATCAAACCTTTGAGAGTAGAGGTTTTTGAAATAGGTGTTGATGATTTTATGTATTTCTATAGAGTCTGTAGTGATTTCTCCTCTTTCATTCCTTATTGCATGAATTTGAGCTTTTTCTTCCCTTTTTTAAAATAAGGTTGGCTAGGGGCTTGTCAATTTTATTTATTCTTTCAAAGAACCAACTCTTTGATTCATTGATTTTTTTTGTCTCTATTGCATTGATTTCTGCTCTGATTTTTATAATATCTTCTCTTCTTTTGGCTTTGGGTTTGACTTGCTCTTCTTTTTCTAGATGTTTGAGGTATAACATCAGGTTACTTATTTGTATTCATTCTGTTTTCTTGATGTGGGAACTCAGTGCAATAAATTTTCCTCTGAGGACAGCTTTCATTGCATCCACAGATTCTGGTAAATTGTATTTGTGTTTTCATGTTCTTGTAGGTATTGTTTAATTTCTTCTTTAATTTCCTCTGTGACTCACTGATTACTCAAGGGTGTGTTATTCAGTTTCCATGTGTTTGTGGGAATTTTGCAGTATCTTTTATCACTAATTTCTAATTTCATAGCGCTATGGTTCGATAGCATGCAAGGGGTAATTTCAACCTTTTTGCATTTATTTAGATATGTTTTGTGAATTAATGTATGGTCTATTTTAGAGAATGACCCATGCACTGCTGAGAAAAATGTGTAGTCTATTGTTGTTGGGTGGAATACTCTGTATATGTCTATTAAGTCCATTTGTTCACAAGTGCGATTCAGTTCTTTTATTTCTTTGCTGATTTTCTGTCTGGTTGATTGTCCATTGGTGTCAATGGTGTGTTAAGATCTCCTGTTATAATTGTGTTACTGTTAATTTGGTTTTTCATTTCTGTTAGTACTTGTTTTATGTAACTGGGTGCTCTGGTATTTGGTGCATATATATTTAAGATAGTTATCTCTTCCTCTTGGAATTTTCTCCTAACCAGTATGTAGTGACCTTCTTTATCCCTTCTGATCATTATTGGCTTGAAGTTCACATTGTCTGCAAACAGAATAGCCACCCCTGCTTTTTTGGGGGTTCCTGTTGCATGAAGTATTGTTTTCCATCCTTTGACTTTCAGTCTGTGGTTATCCTTTTGGGTTAGATGGGTTTCTTGTAGACAGCATATGGTTGGATTTTGTTTCTTGATCCATTCTGCCAGTCTGATTCTTTGAATTGGTGCATTGAGACCATTTACTTTAATTGTCATAACTGTTATATATTGGTTTATTGTTGACATGTTATCTTTCTGCTGTTGCATCTTTATCTTTCGGTTCTGTTTAATTGTCTGCTTTGTTTAGTGGTTTTTTCCTAAATGTGTCTAGCCTGTCTTTCAGTATTCTTTGTAGGGTTGGCTTGGTGATCATGTAGTTTTTCAGCTGTTCTTTGTCATGGAAGTATCTTATTTCTCCATCGGTTTTGAAGGGCAGTTTTGCAGGGTATATCAGTCTAGGTTGGAAATCATTTTCCTTTAGGATCTGAAATACTCCACTCCATGGTCTTGACTTTATTGTTTGTGCTGAGAAGTCTGCTGTGATTCTGATAGGTTTTCCTTTATAGGTGATCTGTCTTTTCTCTCTGACAGATTTTAATATTCTATTCTTTTGTTCGATTTCTGGGATGGCCATTATTATGTATCTAGGTGTAATTTTATTTTGGTTATGGCTATTTGGAGTTCTATATGCTTCATTGATCTTGATATCAGTTTTCAGTCTCATGTTTGGGAAGTTTTCAGCTATTACTTCTCTAAATATCCTCTTGACATCCTTTATGTTGTCCCCTTCTTTTTCATTTATCTCTGTCAACCTTATGTTGTTCCTCTTTGTGTCATCTCACAGGGGTTGAATTGTGATTTCTTGTTATTTTTAAAAGATCTTTCCTTTCCTGTTCACTGGCTGCAATCTTGTCTTTGAGGTCTGAAATTCTATCTTCACATTCATTGAGGCGGTTTTTACAACTTTCCATGGAGTTTTTGATTTCCTACATATCTCTTTGCATCTGCTTTGTATATTCTGTTTGTTTCTTATATTGTTCATCCAGGGATTCTATCTTTTTGTTTAGTTCCTCCAGTTTTTTTAACTGTGTCTTCTTTAGATATGTTCAGCATCTCTTTCATTTCTTTTATCATTTCTTCTTTTGCCTGAGAGATTATTTCTAGTTTGAATTCCTTTAAGGCTTCCCAGAGTTGCTTCTTTATTTCAATTACTATTATTTCAGGTATTTCAGGTATGTGGCATATATTTTCTTCTATGCACATGGCTCCTAGGCTTTCTTGGGATGGGCTGGATGTTTGAGATTGCATTTTGGTCTTTCATTTTGTCATTTTCCTATATTTTCAAGCTTCAAGTATTGTTCCAAGTGAGGGAGAGAGGACCGCCAGGCTGGGACAGAATTCCCTGCTCCCTCCTGACTCACTGATCCTGACAGGAAGCCAGGGCCTGTCCCCCAGGCAAGGAAGAGAACTCCGCTGGACTGGGGTGGGGTTCCCTGCCTCTGCTTGACTTACTGGTCCCCACAGGAAGACAGCTGAAGTCTTTATTTAAAGAAATATACTTTAAGATCAGCAATAACTCTTATTTTCATGGCCAGCACAAAATTGTGTAATTATGTCTTTTAGCTGTGCAGAAGACAGAAAAACAGAAAACCTTTCAGGTTTATCAGTTCAATATAATGTCTAATGTTTAATCTAATTGCTGCTATGCTTTCTTTTTAAACAGCAAAATAGAAAGAAATACATAAAACTCTAAAATTTGTCTTTTAGAGCAAAACATTTTCAGATGGTTTTAGAAGAAAATTTGACAACATTTTATGTTAGTGATGTGAAGAAGCTTCCACAAAGTGAGGGGCTTTGGGACTGGGCAGATTTTGTGAAATACTGGGTGTCTTAGCACTGGTTTCAGTGCTTCACTGTTCATGACACTGAAGTATGAAGTAAATTTGTGATTCTACACAAATGGCCAAGACCTGTTCGTGACACTGAAGTATGAAGTAAATTTGTGATTCTACACAAATGGCCAAGACCTGTGTCTCCAAATAAGTTGAATCATGCATCTAGAATTCATATCTTTAAAAGTATAAGCAAGGTCACTGTCTAAATGGAAACAGAGCAGTCCTCAATTCCTAGGGAAAGCAAGACTCCTTTGGCTAAAATAGTTTTCTCCTCTGTTTGCTGATTGCTGAAATTCTTCGAAAAGATTCTTAATCTTCAACAGACTTAAAAGGTAAATATTGGGTGGAGTATTTACCACATTTGTTAAAATTTTTTAAAGATGCTTTTCTTAGTTTTCACTTTTATTTACTTGTTTAAAAAAAGAAAACAAAATACTAATTTACTGCCAGGCACATGATGAGGTACAGTAATATGAGAAATACAAAGATTGCCTTCCAAAAATTTCTATTTCTAGAGAAGAAATATTATAAAAGAGAAAAATAATTCCTATTTTCTTCATTCTGTACTTACCTTAGTGAGACACCTTGGAAAGGGACTGTGCCATCAAGCACTAGTTTCTAGTGACCAGTGCAGTGCATTCTGGAAAAATAGAGCCAGAAGTTCTAACCATCCAAAAGCTTTTGTCACTTGTATTAATTCTGAGTTTAGGCAAGTACACAATTGCTTGACTTAAAATTTTTTGAGTTAATTATCAAGTGATCTAACTCATAATGAGGGCTAAATCTGTTGATCTGAGTTTTTGGCACAAGATGCTTTTTACCTGTTTTGTTTTTGGTGTAGTTGATTCCTGTGACCAGCTCTCCCATGGATGGTGGCTCATTTTGCCAAGTGAAAGCACCTCCCGTGAAGATAACAAATCTGATTCTACCTGCTGGCCTCAGCCATTACTTGGGACCTGACTTCTCCTTGACTCCTGAAGTTGAAGGTATTCCTGACAGAGTTTCAGAAAGAATAGGGAAAATCCACTTTACTTGAAACAAAAATCTTTTGTTCTAAGGTTACTAAAAGTTTTAGTTTACATTTCTTAAAATGCCGTGCTTAGTCAAGTTTTGTTCTTGAATTTCTGATTTCAGAGACTACAGCTTTTTCCCCTCTGCTCCAGGACTACTATGTTGTAACTAAACATTTTCTCTTTAACAATGTAAACCTTGAATAGTTACTTGCACAATAATTTACTGACTTCTTTCCAAAGATTTAGTTACATATTTTATACCTTGTCTCTGTATCTTGTAGCAAACTCTGGTAAGAGTAGAAAGAAATTAGAAATTTATAACAGAATCTTGGGGCATAGAGGCTATCTAACAAAGGTATCATATGTTTTCCTGAAACACTAGTAAATTCACAAAGCTAAAGCATAGAAAATTGTAAAAGAGAAGATGTAATGAAAGAATAGGACATGCAAATGACTTACTTTAGTATTACCATACATTTTTATGTCTATTCGGGTTTAGAACAAGCCTATTTTGTCACTCCAGATCTTCACCAGCTGTCTGTTATTTTAACAGAATTGGGGTTAGTTATTCTTTCTTGAGGGATCATCTCTTCCCTTCTTTTAACCTCTCCCTTTGTCCTGAGATAATAAAACTGAACAGAATGCTAATAATTATAACTGACCTAAGAGTCTACCATGGAAGATAACTCCACATGGTTTCAGTGCTGAAGGGAAACCCAGTTAAAAACAAAGGCTGCAAACTTTCCTCTGCTGTAATGTTTTATTCTGTCTTTTTTCATACTTCTACATCTTTGTGGCTTTAATATTTTAATCATAGGCAAAACCATTAGGTTTTTGACCAGTAAATAGAACTAGAAAAAACTAAACATATTAAATTAGTATTAACTTCTTTAATAACAGAATGTCATCTTCTATAATGGTTTTTTTATATTCAGTCCTGGATTCATCTACAAAACTTTCTTCAAATATATCTTTCTTCAGGATTTGTTATGCAACCATTTTGTAGGATTTTCTGCAAAAGTCCTTAATGTATTTCATTTGCACATATAGCTACGTAAATTTTGTAGTTATTTTATCTGAGTATATGTATTACAGAATTCAGATATAGATATTTTATTTCAAAAATTATACAGAAAGGATCAAATTGATTCATTGTCACATAAAAATTTTAAGCATATATGTTAATTTGTTTTTACTTAAAATTTTAATTCATAATATGAAACATATATAGCATACATTCAGTTTAAGAACAACCAGATTTCATTACTTAATACATCTCCTTGTTTTATAGTTTTAACCATCTGGATTCCTAATTTCAGACAAAAGAAACAGGAATACAGGAATTCTGTCAAATAATTCTCGGAACATTCATGCAGAAATTGCCTTTCGTCATATGAGAGGAGTAAATCTTTCTCCAACTCCTTTACCACATCAGAGTATTGTATCTCCGACTGCCCCAATGTGCCAGAGCAACCACAAGGAGGACAGGTAAAGCTATCCCTCTGTGTTGTAATATTATTCATCGCCATTTAAATAACCTTCCTATTCACAAGTGATATATAAAAGTAGGCAACATTACCATATAGTACACTGCTACATTTTTATTCTCGTAGCTGAGAAAAGCTGTCAGCATGACTTCTTTTCTCGCCTTTCCCAAAGTCCTATGTATTTACCTCAAAATCTGAAGCCTTGAGATGTCTATCAGAGTTAAATGCCAGTTGCCTGTGAGTGGAGTAACACTGAAATAACTAAATAGGAACTGCTTTCAATTGTATTCTTTCCTCCCTTACTCTATGCACTGAATTTGCAAAACAATCCACTTGTATTTTATACAGCAAATAAATTCAGCTTTGAAATTGTGAGGGCAGAGGATTTTGTGAATTCTTCAAAGCTTTCTCTAAAATTCCGACTTACTCCTGCCTCCAGCCTGGGCCAAGCCCCAGCGACGAGCTTCACCCTAACAACCTCATTACTTCTCACCTGGAGTCCCCCACCTGGATTTCCAAGTATTCCCTGTTCCCAGCCCTCTGTAACTGCGCTGCTAGCCATCATCGCGTGGGAAGCCTGACCCCAGTGCAAACGTAACTTTGGCTGGGCTCCTGCTACACCAACTTCCCTTACTATAATCAATTGTGTTCCAGTGAGTCCTCGGAATTACTCAATTTTAAGTTGTCCAAAACAGGATCGTTTTCTTCCTGTATGTTTTTTAGATTGTATGCACATAAAATACAGAAATTATTTGTTGCAGTTACTTAAGCCGACATCCAGTGAGAAATAAAATCACCATAATTTGATGCATGAATATCTTATTTCTTACAGAATTCCTGGAAGCAACTTTTCAAGATCAAATCATACATAACTGCCTAAAGAAAAATGAGTATATACCAGAAAACCTGTTTCTTTTTGTAGCTGTATGAAAACTAGCAGACAGTAGTCAGTAAAAAAAAAGATAATCATGTTACTTATGTTATTGAAACACTTCCAAATGAAGACAATTTATCACTCTCGAAGAATTTAAGATCACCCTCTTTCAAACTTTATGATCATCTCAATCATTTGCTTGAATTTCTATACTAAAAGATCATGAATTATTAAAGTATACAACAATATGAAAGATAAAAATGGTATCAAAGTCTAGAGAATCAAATGCTTCATTCTGGTATTGGAAGAATTTAGTTATAAAATAACATTTATGGCCTGTTATATGAAGATATTAAGAAGTGGTAATTTTAAGAAATAAGCATGCTTTCATTTGTATAATTATCTCTTCATTTGAAATTACATCAAACTAAAGCATACATTTCTTACCAAACGCAGTTATTACTAAGCAGCGTATTTTGCTAATTGAGTTTGCTACAAAAAATATAATTCCAAAAACCTGTCTTCAAACCAGTTTTACCCTCAAATGTTACACATCAGTGCTAGTCCCTAAACATGAGTATGGTGTGACCAGTTACATTTCATATACAAATTATTAACTGTGCCTATATTAATACAGTTCAAGTGGAAAAGAATAGAGGTTCAAACTGAGGGAACAGTATGGACTGTTAATAATTATATTCCATTGGAAATAATTTTTCTAAATTATTACATTGCCTAGACTATAATATATCAAATATAGTTTGGGATTAGCTTATTAAATATAGTTTTTAAATTGATGACTAAAATGCCTGCAGGTTTTTTATAAATGGACTCTGTGTTTCAGAAAGTGTTCCCTTCTGAAGTATTCAACAGTGAATCTAGTTTTTATAACTATTTCTTTACATAGCAGTAAATTTTTTATGAGAATGTTTGACTTTAAAATTTACCTGAAAATAGTTTCAAAGACATTATAGAAATGACATAATTCCAATGTATATGCAATAATTTTTCTTCTTTAAATGTTGTACTTATAATTTAATCATGTAATATTTTTAAATTTAGATAAATTTTGCAGTTCTTAAAGTGTCGTTTTAAATAACTGTTAAATTCATGTGGAAATAAGGTCCTTTGTTTAAGAAAAACTGTAATTCTTAAAATGTCCAGAAGATGTCGTCATTGCCTTTTAGTTTTGACAATTGCTTTCATCAGTGCTGTGTCCATAAGTATACTTTTATTACTAAATTAGCATCACCTGTTTTTTCTTTTATGATTATTTATAAAACTGAAGTCTTGCATGTATTACTTTTATAATTAAATTATAATTTTATAATTTCCTAACTTTAAATACTAAAGTAGGCAAAATAAATGTAATAGGTTATCACTGGAGAAAGTTCAAGAATAAAAAGTTAAAAAAGTAGAAAAGCCACAAATTACAGCATATTTGTTTAACATTTTGCATATTTTCTTTTATCCCCATGGATTTTTAATTTTTAATTTTTACATTCGAGTTCTTTCATGTGATTTTCATGTTCACATTAGATTTTGAGCTATAATTGCTATATTTTCTAAATTTTAATTACATCTGAATTTATTCTTGAAAGTTAAATCTTTTTAATACACAACTTAATGGTAAAACTAATAATAAACATGTACTTAGGCACTGCTTGGTGAGGATAAAATACAGATAGAGATCTACCTTCAAGGCCCTTCTCAGACAGAATTGACTTCATTTAAAAAAGTGAGGGGATAATGCTAACATGAATTGGTGGAGCAGTTCTGATTTTTTTTCTGCATAGCATCAGGTGTCACTGACACAATGTATGACTCCACTGAAAATATCTAGATAGGTCAAGATAGGGTTACATGCAACTTGTAAGGCAATAGCTACAAGTCCAGCCCTTTCCTATTGAACAGAACAAATGAGAAATGCCATTGAATGTGAATGGTGTTTTTATAGGAGTCATTTTAGATCTGTTGTAAATTATTTTTAAGTACATAATTCACAAACTGAAGTTTTAAGTTACAGTTACAAATTGTTTGTAACACACTAAACAAACTGCTTTAAACTTACACACACACCACTAGTATATATTTTAAATGCTGTAGTAATGATCTTCTGTAGTGGGCCTGATGTGTCATGTCTTCATTTATATATAAAGTAACCATGACTTACAGAAAAGAACAGTACATACACATCTAATCCTAGGTTTTTTTCAGTTCCAGACTCTTTTTTATTGTTATTTTGGTACATTTGCAGTATATAGGGATTACATTAATTCATAGGGAGTTACTACACGTATATAACACATCTAATTCTCTTTATGTCACCTTCCCCTCCAGATTCATTGCTTCTTCAAGTGAATGGGCAGTTAGTTACTATCTGTGTGCTAGTTAATAAACTATTGTATAGCACTAATGTACACAAAGACTGAAAAGCTCAGTGTATTTAGTGTAGGTAAAATGTGTAATTTCTACACTAAGGTATTTTTTCTTTGCACCCAGAAAACATCTTATTAGATTTATTTTGCATGCAATCATTATCCCTGATTATATGACTCATTTTCAATGTTTAATTCCATAGCCAACCTATTAAGCTAGAAGTTAGGGCACTGTAACTATAGATTGGAAGACTATAATACTGAACTGAATATAGGTGTTTTCAAATTGATCTGATTTCTACACATGAAAGTTAACTATAATTAATTGTTCAATAAAAGCTTGATTAATTCTATTTTTATAGCCCTGGATTTTTCTTTTAACCAAAATTTATCTATGGTTTTGAACATGTTCTTGCCTAGCATCATATACTGTATTACATGAATGTACATTGCATGTTATCTTCATAGGCACCATTGAATAGCTTTAAATAATCATATACTGTACAAGTAACATGCCTTATAATTATTTATTTGTAAGCTATCATACATTATGAAAAGTATTTAGTGTTTTAAAACATTAGATTTTAGTCATGTTCTAGGCTCTTAGTTTCTATTATTTAGTACTTCATTTAAAAAAAGAAAGTAAATGATAGATCTATGTGAGAAGCAACCGCTATTGGCCGGGCTTTATTAATTATTAACTGAATCTAACCAAATGTTTGTTCCGAGCTAGAAACTGGCGTGGTTTTTCTGAAGCATCTGCTATAAACCTATGGACTCTGGGAAGCTTCACAAGACTTAACTCTCCTTGTTTGTCTTTCTACAGTTTCCTCTAGTATTGAAACATTTTTTAAAGAAAAACCTTTTCCCAATTGCAATTTAAGTTCACAGCTGCCTCGGACAAGTAGGTCAGCAAGGAACACAGCAATTTTTGTTAGAGATTTTTGGCTTCTACATGTTTGTTTCTTACAAAAAACATCAGGCATACAATTCTTCTATTATTTTTTTGCTTTTACTTGTGAATAAAATTATTTTGTAAATTATTCAAAAACATTTCTCAGGTTCAAAGGTTATGTACTTTTTATGTTAAAGTTTTGTTTGGTGATGAATTTTTCCTTGTGGTTAAGGTATAATTAATGATTAATAAAAACATCTATGAAATTTATTACCTAAAAATAACATAGTCAAAGAATATTACAAGTATCTTTTAAATTATTAATGACCTGAGGGGCTGGGGATTTAGCTCAGCGGCATAAGCACCTGCCTTTCAAGCAGACGGTCGTGAGTTCAATCCCTGGTACCGATAAAAAAGAAAAAGACAAAAAAAAAATTATTAATGACCTGAAATTAAATTTTTTACTTTTTATATTTTATTAGACCTTATCCTAACTATATAATCTTTCAGGTAAATCAAAACACCAATTCATCAGTATTGTCATGGGCCATGTAAGATTTCGGTGACTCCAAAATTCTAACTTTAAAGTTGGATCAGATTTTCTTTCTTTATTATTATTAAATATTATAATCTTTCTATATGTTCTGAGTAAAAATTCAAAGCAAAATACACTTTAGTGTTTTGTAAATGAAGTACATTTTAATCAGATGTGAAAATAGAAGTAAACGTGAAATATTTTCCACAAATAGTATTCTAAATTTTCTTCTGATTTTTAATTTTATAATTTTAATTAATTTTTAAATTTTTTTTAGATATTTCACACCAGCCATCATTTTTAAATATTAAAAATAAAAAGATCAGTGATGGTCTATTTACAAACCATAAAAATAACAACTATGAATTTCACTAGAAAAAAGTAAAGTAATGATATTTAAAGGCTATGTTACTCATGGCCTAATTGTTTTACATCTTGTTGTAAAAGAAGATTTTTTTCTCTAGAAAATATTTTTAGATAATTCTCGTGGTTTGGCTCTATTTGTTTTGTTGCTAATTACAATGTGTGGTACCTCTCCCCTCCCTGCCAGCATATATATATATATATTACATTTTTAAGTTTGCAATCATTTCATATCCTTTCCTATCAATTTGGCTTAAAGCAGATACTTACAAACACTCGTAGCCTACTTTCATATGGCCTTTCATTTTTTATAAAGTGCTTTGAAAGAGTTCAGTTCACCTTAATGGTGCCTTTTTAAGGAAATGAGATGAGGAGAAGTCAATTTGAGCTCCCAGATGAACAAATGTCTTCAGAAAGAAAAGGCATAAATGGGTTCAGAAAACAGAGCTTGGGAGCAAAACCCAGTGAGCGGAGCCCTCGGGGAGGCCAGATAGGAGGGAAGGACTAGAACAAGCAATCGGAACAACGGACCTGACCCAGGCGTCGTGTTAAACTGTCGGAACAGGTGAAGCGCAAGCTGGAACTGTAAAGACAATGTGAGGAACAGTAAGTGAAGAGCTTTAAATCCAAAGAGAGTGAAAGCAGTCATTGTACAGGATGGAAATGGAGTCAGAGGTGGCATATTTCCCGGTTAATTTACCTTGTGCAGAACTCTGTTTCAGGCATTAAATCATTATTAAACCTTGGGAGTTTTAAACAAGGTAGTATGTTTTGTGAATTTTATAAACATGCACATATACACTCACATGTGCAAGTAAGAATGTAACATATAGGTCCTCATGTATAATTGTAGCGAGTTAATCACATAATCTTTAGCAATCATCGTACTACATCAAACTTTTTTCACCACCTCCCCACCAGGATAATTTAGATTTAGCAGCAAAGGTGCAAGTGTACAATTTTAAAGATTTAAAATAGAAAATGACACCAGAGAACACATTAGTCATAAACTAGGAAATTACTTAATGGCTTAATTTTAATTAAAAGTCAATAAAAACACATTTTAGAAAATTTTTTCTTAAATGCACTGATATATTTTCTTCCTATAATAAGGTGAACAGAATTTTATTTTTGGTGATTTATGGTGTTTCAGGGTCATAGATGGACATGATTTACAATTTAGGGAAATACAGCTGAAGAAAATATACAGAATATGTTCTGAACTCATTTTATAACCTTGGAAGCTTCTTATGGGTAAAAGTTCATATATATAGCATTTATGTCCTTCGGCCTGCATTTTTTGTGTATCCCTCAATTAATACGATAATGACATAATTTTTCTAGTTAGCTAAATTTTCTTACATTAACTGACTCATCACTGTAATTGTTCAAGTATGTTTTGAATGAAGACACAGTGTACATATAAGAGGTATACAGCATATGCATTAAAAACAAATGCTGAAGACTCTGTCAAATAAAATTGAATCCCAAACATCTGTTACCATGAACATGTTGGGGCACTGTTGACCCTCAAAAAGAGTAACTATGAGAATGTCAGTCACATAATTATCATTATTTAACCATTTAATAAATTTTCAAATACCTATTTTTTCTGTTTAAGATTTAGCATTAACTAATCAATGTTGACCTTATCAAGAATTTTATGACATAGTATAACACAGATTTCAGAAAATTATGTTTTAGGATCATGGAGCTCTCTTAGCATGATGTTATTTCAAGTTTTTCCTCAATGCATTGTAAGAAAATTAGAATAAAAATTTATAATTAACAACATGAGTACCTCAGTATTTAGAAGAGAAACTTATAAATGCTATTAAAAATAGTAAAAGCCAAACTTTACAAAGAGCACTATTTTCATGGAGAAAACTAAAATGTAAAAAGAGTAGTTTTGGTTAGACTCCAATTTTTTCCTATGACTAAAGCAAATTTTAAAAATGAAATAATTTCTAATATTAGATTTTTCAAATTTTTATTTTTTATTATTTTCAAATGCATTCAAAATTTCTACTAAGAAAACTATTGTGAACCTAAATGGCAAAAAACAAATGAAAGCAAAGCAGAAATAATTTAATTCCTATTTGAACATTCCTAGAATAATTGTACTTCTATTTGATTATAAATGAGATTCAACTACTTTACTGGATAGTAAACAAAGTTATTTTACCTTGAGATCAATCATTAATATTCATGTACCATTTTGTTTCTCAAGTTTTGAAAGTTTTGAAAGTTATTTATTAGATAATGGGTTTTCATGATATTTAATGGGAAAATAACAAATAATTTTTATGCTCTAAAATATCACCAATTTGAAGGTTTATACCTTGTGTAAAAGTATTTAAAGCATATATACTCATACATTGTTAAAAACTGGTACTATATCTTTGATACAAACCCATAAATTCATCTGTATGTTCTGTCAAGCTTACCACACCTAAATGGCCCATATTGTATATCCAAGAAGTCAGCAAATAAAGTAACGGTGAAGATTACAAGATCCACAACTAACAGAAAAAATAATGTCAAACAGCTGTCTTACTACATACTAGATCACTTTCATTTCATGACTTTTTATTTTTACTGTCCTTAAAATTTATGAAAGATTCATACTTCACCATTTGTGAAACCAAAAATTTACCCACAGTTGTGTAAGTCTCTTACCAAGTATTCAATTGAATAAGCAGTGTAACAGGGAAAACATCATGGAACCAACCCCCCGATCTAAGAAATTACTTTCCCTCAGAATCGAACTTAGAACAGTTCAGGGACCGTCCTCATGATCTAAATGAAGGAAGTCACCAGTAAAAAATATGAACAGTCAAAAATACAATCTACCACATTTTTATGGAAAGACAATGTGCTAGTCAGTCTCCACTTACCCTCCCAGGACTGTTCTACTTTTCTCCTCCTGCTCTGTGTCTCTAGAGATGGACACTTGGGGTCAGTACCCTCTGGAGTCATCTTGGCTCCTTAGCTGACAGCAAATGGGACACGCTGGAAGTAGATAAAGAGTGGAAGGAGAGTGAAATTAGACTTTGGCACAAACTGTTCCTACAAGGAACTCTCATTTGACTTTCCCAAACTGTGGGTTTTAATGAACTGAGATCTTACACCTTTGGGCCTACTGGCATTGCAAGTTCAAAGGCTTCACCAGTCGTGATTTACTTCTTGTGATCCAATGCACACTTAACTCAAGGATCCCATTTGACTGTGCCACTTGCTTCTCTCTAAGATCCCAGTACGTACAGTACATCCTGCCTGCTTCTCTCTAAGATCCCTGACACAAATATGTTATTGGGGGTTGTATTTTAAATACAAAATGGAAAAATTACCAATGGGAAGACAAATGTTTAATTATTTTGTAATCCATTACTCTTCAGGTTTGGTTCCAGGTACCTGACACCTTTTAGTTCTAGAGTAAAATCTTAATGTCAGGTTGGAGTCGTGATATGCAGCATAGAATATAGTGTCGAATTCTGGAAGATGTTTTAAAATATTTTTCATGACAAAAGTAAAATAATTAAGATTGCAGAAGGTTTTTT